TAACCCTGACATTTGTTTTAACCCTGACATTTGTTTTAACCCTGACATTTGTTTTAACCCTGACATTTGTTTTAACCCTGACAATTGTGACTAGCTCACGCCGTCTCCAGTAATGGAGTTTTTGAGACATAACTAACTCTGTATCGTGACAAATAACTACCTACAGGTCTGTATGTGTATCTCCTGCCGATGTTGACGAGGGGTGGCAGAGAGTGATCTGGCTTCCAGCCGAGCCAGCTTGCAGGTCAATTCAAGACACACCGACATCCCGAATTCCCGGTGTTTGCGGGGCATCTCCACTTGGGTTGTGAAAGTTGCCCGACTTGGGGGCATCGCTAGACTTATTTTCTGTCAGCATCGGAAGAATTAACGGGTCATAATGGTCGCAAGTATAAGGAAGAGCCAATGGCTATCCAGGTAGTAGGTACTACCATCTACGAACTCGCTTGAACATGAGAAACTCGAAGATTGGAGGCGATGGTTCAGGAAGTTAGATATCGAGGATATGCAGGCACCCTAACCCTCTAATTCTCACGCTGAAGTACTCCGTAATAAGTGGACCGCATTTCGGAGTAAGCGCGGCATGCTCCAGATTGTGAAAATGTGGTCTCTCTGACGCATCACCCCTCGGTTGGGAAGAGAGAGTAGAATCCTAGAGCCCTTCCAGCCATCGCAACCGGCTGCATCACGCCTGCATTTCAACAATGGCAAACGACCACATCCTTACGCTGTCCTGCCCGGACAAGCCCGGCATTGTGCACGCTGTGACGGCCATCTTTGCTCGCGAGGGACACAACATTTTGGAACTGCAGCAGTTTTCAGATGCGACTAGCCAAAAATTCTTCATGAGGGTTCACTTTGGCCCTACACCAACCGAGTCGACCGAGCATCTCCGCCCAGCCTTTGACTCGCTGGCCGACGAGTACAAGATGGCATATGACATCCGACCGGTGGCCCAGAAGCCGCGTGTGCTCATCATGGTGTCCAAAATCGGCCACTGCCTCAACGACCTCCTCTTCCGCGCCAAGACGGGCCAGCTCCCCATCGACATCCCCCTGATTGTGTCCAACCACCCGGACTTTGCGCCCCTGGCCGCCAGCTATGGCATCGAGTTCTACCACCTTCCCGTGACCCGCGAGACAAAGGCGGCCCAGGAGTCCCAGATCCTCGAGCTCATCAAGCAGAACGACATCGAGCTGGTCGTCCTGGCGCGCTACATGCAGGTGCTCAGCGCGACGCTGTGCGAGGCCATGTCCGGGCGCATTATCAACATCCACCACAGCTTCCTGCCGTCCTTCAAGGGCGCCAAGCCATACCACCAGGCCTACGAGCGCGGCGTTAAGATCATCGGCGCCACGGCGCACTTCGTCACGGCCGACCTGGACGAGGGCCCCATCATCGAGCAGCGGGTCGCCCGTGTCGACCACAGCATGAGCCCCAAAGCCCTGGTCGATGAGGGCTCCAACATTGAGAGCCAGGTCCTGGCTGCTGCTGTCAAGTGGTATGCGGAGCGCCGCGTTTTCTTGAATGGGACGAAAACAGTTGTCTTTTGAGTGACACTGGAGGGAGGACCTGAAAAGTATCTAGATAAGGTGGTTTAGCTTTGCTATGTACTTAGGACATGGAAAACCAAATGCTTCCTATCATGCACGTTTCATCATTGGGGTTGCTGGGGGTTTTCTCTGTGAGATGTACCGACGTAGAGGCGCACACCCCAGCCAACGTCTCGAGGCTTGCAATTAGGCGCATACAGATTCTATGGCACAAAGCTGGCTTAGAGAGCTGACGTGAACAACAAGTTACAGGTCCTCGCAGTGTTCTCCCAGAATAGCAGAGTGAAGCCCTTAACGACCTTCCGCTTCGAGATAAGTTGGTCCACCCCTCGCCCTTGCTTACCGCTAATGCGAGGAGCTACTGCGTCTTACCGATGATTGAGTCAGCGCCGTAGGAATATTTATATCGTTACACAGTTACTCGCTATTGATATTCCATCTTGCAGCGAGACGGTAGAGTTGAAATTCAACTTTCGCCCCTGATCACCATCCTTTTACCATACTGCCATGCCTCTCCTTGTCCGCCCAGCAACCGAAGCCGATAGCACCAGGAGTGGCATAATCGGCCGAGACGCCTTTCGCGACATCTTTCACGAGTCCCTTTTCCCTCCACACCTAGCTCACAAGTCGGAAACCGGCGATCTTGAACTGGATGAGGCGCAATGGCGCACCACGAGGAACCTGAGGCGCATACGGGATGGCCAGCCAACATTCGTAGTTCTCGACGCTGCTGAGGACGCGAGCACTGCCGAAGAAGTTGTTGCAGTCGCGCACTGGCAGCCCCCTTTGCAAACGCCGCCGTCAGCAGCTGCAACCTTCGCAACCAAGGACCCTGTGCCTGGGTCGTTGGACTTGAAGAAGGCAGAAGAGATTTTCCGGGTGATGACGGATGAAACAACGAAAGTGCTCGGGCCAGACTGGCACGAGAACACGTGGTGTGAGTTATGCCTGTCCCAGTCAACGCCCAGGACCAAACCTCAATCTGACGAGATATCCAAAAGTCCTCGTGCACCTCGCCGTCGATCCCAACCATCAGCGCCGAGGTATTGGGAAGATGCTTGTGCGGTATGGGCTTGATCTGGCTCAAAAGGATGGGAAGGACGCTTTCTTGATCAGCACCCCCGCGGGTCGAGGCATGTACCGGTCCGTGGGCTTCCGAGACGTAGGGGAACCCTTCCCTATCTGTGGCATTCCTCATTACCCGATGATGTGGACCAAGCCGGACCCAACTCTGGTTTAAGGCATTATCGGCATACGTTGGCCTTAAAAAGTTAATTCAGAAGGGTCCAGAACTTTTGGTGGAAAGGCAACCGGAGCTCCTGGATCCAAGGGGCGCAGTATGACTGGACGAAGGCCGCCAGACACAGGCAGCCACCTGGGCTGTCACGGTTAGTAATGCGCGAATGGAAGGTTGCATGGAAGGTTACACTGCATCAGAAGACTGGATTGTTTCCATTCCGTCATCAAATCCCTCTCAGGCTCTCAAATAATTTTTTTAAAACCAAAATCGCCTACTCCGGCATAGTTGGTTCCGTCGAACGCTTACTTGAACATGTCCCACGCTATTGGTTTTATCACACATTCGTCTGGAAAAGTAGAAGGACAAACAATGAGGATTGGAAGTCTCGGCACTGCTAGTCGTGCACCACTGCAGCACATCTGACCACCTCTGACCATTTCACCACGTATGCTGCTTGCCGAAACGGGAATCTCCGGACCTGTACGAATCCTGCACGCCAACTAACCGATCGTATCGACCCAGACCGCCAGACATTAGGTGTGCATGCAGCCGGTGCAGGCGCAGTTCCCCCCACTCGAAACGCCTTCGCTCAACCCGGTTTCCGCCACATACCCGGTGGAGGCGAAGTACTTGAGGATGGGACGGTCAATATTAAGACTGCCCGGGCTTCGCGCCACTCCTCACTCCTTTTCTGCTGGTTACCGCCAAATGGAACTTCGCAAGTATCACAAGTCCGTGTAGAAGCCTCTGACGCTCAATATACCTACGGACCTTAGCCAGGTACTTGTACCTTAATCCATAATGGTCAGTCACGAGACGGAAATATATCAATTTTCTTAAAACGGAATATCTTCGCTAACAAGGAATATAGGAGTCGGTTGCATCGTTCGCGGCTGTTGCGCAAATAGCCGGACAGTTGCTCAACCTAGCGCAACAGATTCTGCGTGCTCGAGAAACAGTTCGTCGGACCCCTAAGGCCATCGAGAACTTGGACTCGCAACTCTGGAGGCTCTTCAACACCGCAAAGCAAGTTGTGGAAGAGCCGGCACTCCAGATAAAGCCAATACGAGAAGAGCTCGAGGAGATATTCGAGATCGCCACAGAACTTCATGCCACGATGGAGAAGATGAGAAAGATGCAGACAAAAAACAAACTTCGGCAGACTTTGCATGCATTAGTCCAAGGACAACGGGACGATTCCATCCTTCAAGATGTCGTTGGCCGTCTCAGAGACGCGCAGGATACGCTCGGACACCGCATCAGCGTGGCGCATGTTAAGACTACGACCGGCGTGGCCAAGGTGGTCGATAGAATCGACATGGGCGTCGACAGCATACGTAGAGACCTCAGGGTCGCTGAGCAGCCGCGTTTCGACATCAGCAATAACACCGCTGACACAGACGGCCTGCAACAGAATTCGATCGATGTGTGGGAAGGGTTGGGCTTCTCGAAGGCATGGATAAGGGGCAACCAGGCGCTGAACAAGAGCCACCAGACAAACACCATTTGCATAGCGGCTGCAGCATGAATCATGGAGGTTATCTACATGGTGTGTTCGAAAGTAAACTCCACTACACCCAATGTCTCGAGGATGCCTTTGGCATGGCCCTCTGATGATAGTCTGGGCCGTAATCTAATCCTAGAAGCACAGATCGCGCGCACTATGCGAGATATCCACCTAGCCTTCTATACGACTGTACTTACACACCTGTTTCTACCAACAAGTGTCTCTTCTTGCTGTCTCTAGAAGCAAACTCGTCTACAAATACGATGCTTTCTTGCCCTCAGATACCAACCATCCTGCCTCTCCGCCTGGTGTTACCAGACAGGAGACGTCGCTCGGGTACTAGATTTTCGACCGCAACGGCTGCAATCGCCAGTTGGTTGGGCACTGAGCTCACTTCGGCTGAAGTGCAAAAGAAAAAGAAGAGCACTATTGGATTTTCCATTGGCCGCCTGACTCTTGAGCATGTCCCGACGGGCCGACTTCGAGCCGGTTGTGCAACACACCCAAAAACTCTCCAATGCAAAAGCAGGAGCAGAACACGGCACGTCTCAAGCGTAAGGCAGCCATGCTGACGGGCGGTAAATGCAGCTCTTCGGAACCAAACAAGTATTCGAGGGGCTGCCCTTGGGGTTCTTCTTCCCATTTGCTTTCCCCGCAGGCAAGTTCAACCCAAACCCTGCCTGCCTCCTGAAATCTACCTCGTCGAGGCGTCCCGGTCACCGTGGAACCTGAGTTTCCGCCCAGACGTCAATTCTCAGGGAGCACCTGGGCACCATGAATCAGTTCGAACTTTGCGTTCAAGGTAAGGCTCCCGCCCCGCAGCATCATGCCTGGGCCGCCAAAGCCGGACGAGTTTCCTGAGCCTCATTTCCACTGCTGACGACGACGGCACAATCACATAGGTCCAAGCGAGGAGGCTGTGAACCTCAAGCTTAGCCCCAGCCACACCGTCACACAACTTCGATCGCTCTTGGCCATTCAATTTGGCGTCGCGGCTGAACAACTCTTCCTAGTCGCCGACAACAATCTGTCGAAGAAGTTGGAGATGTACGAGCCCGACTTCGTCCACACGCTGCCGGTGGCGCAGCTAGTCGAACATGGGAGCACTGTGTGCGTCAAGATTGGTTCTGCGCTGGCAGCGCTTGGCCCTTTTATTGTGGCTAACGCCGCAACTCGGGAGCCCGCCCACGTCATGGTCGACAAGTACATCATAAGTACGCGGACGCCTAGCTTGTTACATCACCCATCTGTTTTTGCCTCTTTTTTCTTAGAACACTCAGTAACTGAACACTCAGTAACTGACTTCAAACCCCCCTCATTAGCGAGAAATAAGGCATTGAATGGCGGTGAGATGATCAGCAGGGAAGTTGTCGTCCATAGAGAGGGTATCTCTATTGATGCCGAGATCTCGGAGACCGTTGCCGACGGCCCCAACTCGAGAATGGTCAACTCCATTATGCTTCCGGCCCAGCACGATAAGGCCCAGAAAATAGATTTGTTTATGGACCTTCTGAAGAGGGGCTTGAGCATCGAGGAAGCTGGTAAAGCTATTCAGTTTCTCGGATGAGTGGCGTCATCACTACTAGGTAGTGCTTCACCAGACTTGATTGCGTTCAAAGATTGATTGGATTGTCTACCCTTAGTACACTACCAAGCAGCCAACTTACCTATGCAATGCGATGGCGGACCTTAGGGTAGCGACAGGGATGATTTCAGTCAGTCTGGCAGAACCGTTGGCTAGAGGTAGGTACATACATATAAGGAGCACCGTTGCCCTTTAGGTTAAGGGGGAGAGATTAGGGCTGTAACGGTCCCAGGAGTATATTGCAACTAGCTGCTGACGACTATACGAGTTTGTCTCGAATGGAGAGAGAAGAAGAAAAGAGAGAACTAGATGACAGGAAGAGAGGGCAGCTCTTATATGATCCGGAACACACAGACACTGCCTGCCTCAGGATGACGTTATCATGATATTACGGCCGAGGGTTGCCGAGGCCATCATGGGCTCAGCCCATCACACTTCCAAAGTCCCCAGTTTGCAGCGTTTGCGCTGCAAGTCGAGAACGCCTGCCACGCGGCCGAGGAAGACAGTTATGTGGCCACTATCGATCGAGCCATCCCCGCCGTCGCCGAGAAACTACGTGCCCTTTCGAGCCAACAAACTGCCGCCAACATCTGGATCGAAAGGGCGTTTGCTGAGCTTACGCAGCAGGTGCAGAGGCTGGAGAAGAGGATGGACGAGCTCTCTAAAGCGTCGTACACTGTCACAATCAGTTCGGGACGCAGCACTGTCGTACAACGGCTCGAGATGCCGAAGCGCGGGCGACCGAGGGCGCCGGGCCGCGGGGCCCCTTCCCCCCAACTATCTACTGGAGACGAAGAGCAGGGGGGCGTTCCCCAGCTTACCACAGCGTCTCTACCGCCGCCGCCGGCGGCGGTTGCGTCGAACGTGCCTAGGTTTGAGGTCCCTTTAGATATTCGCTCTATTCCGGATCTGTGGCTCCTGTGGAGATACGGAAGGGCTGGCATGCCTTCAATCGAGTCACTCGAGGCTAACTATGGTGCTGCTTGGCGCCCTAAGTCGCAGAAGTCCGTCTTCTGCGGTCGAAAGGCAATCGTCGATGTCAGAGTGCAGTATGGGGCAGCTGCGCTGTGACCCACATATAACCCACAGGATTGCAAGTCGGAGCGACTTGCGATTCGACACCCTTTTTCAGGGAGATACGACATAGCCGAGTGGGTTGGTTGTGCGCGTATCCTCACAGTCGACTTCATCCTGGGCAAGTCGCGCGAGCGGGGTGGCGCAGAAAGCGCCGCCGTACAGTCGCGTGTTATCGCGCAAATTGAGGAGCTGTGCCCCAAGTGGTCTCTTGACAAGGTCACGAAGGCTATCAAGAACGGGGATCTGGAGCGTAGATGGCCGCCGGAAGCGTGAAAAGGGGTTTGCTTGGCTGTTCCTCTTTTTT